TATTGAATTTATTGGTGTGACATTGATTAATAAGATTATATAGGTTTCAGGTGTACAAGTCTATAACACCTCATCTGTATATTGTATTGTGTGCTCACTACCCCAAGTTAAATCTCCTTATGTCTCCATTTATCCCTGCTTTACCCGCTCTACCTGTCTCCCCTCCCCCTTCTAATCATCATACTGTTGTCTGTGTCTATGAACATTTTTTTGGCTTAATTCCTTCACCTTTTTCACCCAGCCCCCCAACCCCTCCCCTCTGACAACTGTCAGTCTGTGCTCTGTGTCTGTGATTCTGTTTTTATTTTGTTGGTTAGTTTATTCTGTTCATTAGATTCACGTATAAGTGAGATCACATGATACTTGTCTTTCTCTGATTGGTTGATTTTATTTGTGACAGCATGGATGGACCTAAAGAGTATTATGCTAAGTTTCATTAATTTTATAATCAAAGAATAGACTACTAAGTATTCCTTCTCTTTTATAGTCTTTGTAAACTACACAAAATGATAATAACCTAGTATCATCCTTTAGATCAAAAGCACTGTGTCATTTAGTTCTATATGTTTTAAGTCAAATTTTATAACAAATATAGTCTGTCATTCCTCAGAATCCTTGCTTGTATATATAAACATAATAAAATGTTTTATCTTTTAAAAATCATATTCTGTTTAATGGTAATTCATAAGCCTTCTTCCTACATTTTTCCCCCAAAGAGAGCCATTTTCTCTATAGTATCTTACTACATATGTATATAATTTAAAACAAACGTTGTAATTTTCTTAGTTTTCTTAGGGAAATGCTACATGCACATGATGAAAATGATGTATAGATTTCTTATAACTGTCCATGCAATTGCATTTCATTTGCCCTCAATTTTTAATACATTAGTAATAAATGCGTACTGCAGAAAAAATAAAGTTATAAAAAGTAAAAGTCATCTGTAACTCCACCACCCATAGATAATCTCGGCAAATACTCTTTAGTTTATATCCTTTAGATCTTTTATTATTGTTATTCTAAGTAAACCTGTATCATCTGTCTCTATCTTCTTAAAGTTGTAGCTCTGTATACATATCCATAGATGAATTTGCCTTTATCTGGAAAACAGGATTATACTCTACATATCAATATAACATGGTTTTTAAATTCAAACTACATTATGGCTATCTTCCTACATTTATATTTACACTAGAGGTCGGTGCACGGATTTGTGTTGGTGGGGTCCCTCAGTCTGGCCTGTGCCCTCTCACAATCCGGGACCCCTCGGTGGATGTTGGGCTGAAACCGGCAGTCCAACATCCCCTGAGGGATGTAGTAGTGTGCAAAGTGGCAGATGGCCGGGGGAAGAGCCCGAGCCCAGGCCAGGCACCGCTCCCATTCATCCTGACCCCACTGTGCCTGCTGCCCCCTCTGCTCAGTAAGCTCACTGAGTGGTGCTCCCCCTGTGGGAGCACACTGACCACCAGGGAGCAGTTCCTGTGTTGAGCATCTGCCCCCTGATGGTCACTGTGTGTCATAGAGACTGGTTGACTGGTCGATTGGTTGCTTAGCCTTTTATATATATAGATATGATTGTATGATATTCATTTGAAGATAAGGCATTTTCAAACTATTCCCTGTGGGGCATTTAACTTGTATTCTTTTCCTCACTGTTATAAAAAAATCTTATATGTCAACAAACTAGATAAACTCAGTAGAAGTAGATCTTTTGGGAACACACAGCTAATCAACTCTTTGGCTGGGATAGGTACCCCTCTTCTCCACTCGCATAACACTCTATTAATACCTAGACCTTGATCCTATCACTTTGTACTGAAATAATTAATTTACTTACATGTATCTTCCACAAAATGCAAGTTATTGACTCGTATGCTTTCTGTGTCATCCGCACGGTAGGAGCTTAATAGACAATTGCTATACTGTTAACTGAAAATTCACATGATGTCATTAATATTCAAAAAAATCATTCTTGAGGAAATGTAAAGAGGGCGTACAAAGGGAATAATTAATAAACAGTAATGTTTATGTAAAGATTTCATAATTGGCTGTTATTCTATGATTTGCATACAGCACTTTCAAATGTAAAATGAAACTCAATTTCTAAAAGGAAGATGGAGCAATCATTAGAATATTATCAATTCTGGGTCTTAGACCAGAAAGATTTTTAAGTGAAGGAATTGACCTCTTTAAGCTTTCTCTCACCAGTCATCATTTGTAAATCAAATTTATTTTATATAATCAAAAGTTAGAGATTAGGTGTGGGCTTAAGGTCAGACATCTTAGTTCATTTACTGGTGCTGCCACTATCTGCGGAAAGTAACATGAAATGTATATTTTCTATGTGCTGGGCATTGTAGTGAGCATTTGAAATGGATTATCTTATTGAATCCCTTAGGCTTTGGGTCATAGTATGCCAATGCTAATGTATCTTCCTTGATATGCTATCCCTATAATATAATAAATTCTGTCCCACTAAATCTTACTTTTCTCATTTATAACATGGGGGTAATAATACCTGACTCACAGGTTTGTTGTAAAGGACCAAGCATTTGGCAGAGTGTCACATGGTCAGCCCTCAGTAAACATTGTCTACTACTTGATTATTAGATTAGCAACTGGGGAATAAAAAGGGTAATTAATATGGTCAACATCATTAACCAGCAAGTCCTTAAGTCCACTTCTGTGAAACTCAGTTTCTTCACCTCTAAAATAAAAACACTTCATTCAATATCTTAATGATGTTTTTACTCAAAATAACCTTAGAACAATCTATAATATTTCAGTAGTGACCAACATAAAGTCTGGAGCATATTCTGCATTCAAAATCCGGAAGTTACAAGACCGGGGAGAGAAAAGGAGGAGGAAGAAAGGCGTCAAAATCCAAGAGTGTTGGTCTCCAGTTCCAATGACACCAGCATTTTACTAGACTGCCCCCATGCAATAGGTTATTTATAACCATTCATAGCAGATTCTGTGATGTAACTGTACAGGTCCATGATTTGATTTAGAGGACATAGCCCATAAAGAGGAGCAAGGAACAATTTATGATCCACGTTCATTTCTGGTTAATTTTCGTCATCTGTAGTGACAACGGCCTTATCACATACTTCCTTCCCAGGAGCCATCAGATATCATTAGGGTCTGATTATCGCTCGGAAGTCCCAAGTATGGGGAGACCTGTTCCAATTGGACAAATGGAAGATGAGATGCAAACTCACTTTCTGACTTCCTGGCTTTGGAGGAGAGAAATGAGCTCATTAAATTCTCTTTCCCAGGTCAATTAGCCACACAATTAATCTCGCTCCTGATTTTTAAAAACTCTATTCATCCCATCACAAACTTGGGCCAAATGCAAAATTTTGCTTCAAGACGATGCCCAAGGCCCGTTTTTTTCCCTTTCATTTCAAAGAATTCTTCCCATGACCTTGCTCACCCTATGGTGGTGTTTTTATTATTCAGGTTGCACTTTCTCGAATAAAAGTGGGTGGGAGTGGTGACATGGAAGCTGCGGTCCTGTCACCCTGATTACAGATGCAGTTTGTCTTTTCCAGAGCAACTGCTGGCTGTCTGAGCCTGGGATGTTGCCTACCCGACCGAGCTAGTGGAGCAAATCCAGGAAAAGCTGTTTGTATGAAGACAGTATTATTTTTGCTTTATGCTTGTGATCTAAAAAGTAAAGTCTCATTTAAGACTTTATCCTGATTGTGAACCTAAAAGCCATTGTCAGAAAGTCATGGTAAATCAGACTGCACTAAGTACTATAGCAATGTTCCAAAGACAAAATCCCGACTTCTTCAGTGTCTAGAATCAAAGAGGAATTCGCCACTGACTTCATGGAGTGGGTTGGGCACTGCCAAGCAGTTGTTACTCAAAAAGCTAGCCTTGCCCGGCCGGTGTGGCTCCGTGGTTGAGCATGGAGGTGCATGAACCTAGAGATGATGGTTCAGTTCCCAGTCAGGACACATGCCCAAGGCTTTGGGCTCAGTCCCCACTAGGGGGCGTGCAGGAGGCAGCCAGTCAGTGATTTTCTCTCATCACTGATATTTCTCTCTCTCTCTCTCTCTCTCTCTCTCTCTCTCTCTCTCTCTCTCTCTCTCTCTCTCTCTCTCTCTCTCTCTCTCTCTCTCTCTCTCTCTCTCTCTCTCTCTCTCTTTTTCTCTCCCCTTCCTTTCTGAAATAAATTTTTAAAAAAGGCTAACCTTCCTTTTGTGGACAATTAAAACCTCTACTTCCGCTGTCCATCTGTTCTTGCATGCTGTCTGCTCCATCCATTAGAGCCCTTTGCATGTTAATCATAGTTATTTTAAATTCCTGGTCTGACAATTTCAACATCCCCTTCCTCCCCCCAATACCGGATTTTGATGGTGGCTCTGTTTCTTCCTATGGTTTATTTTTGCTTTTGGTATGCCTTGTGATTTTTTTAAAAAAAAATTTATGGATAGCTGGACATGATGTGTGGGTAAGGAACCGTTGTAAGCAGCCCTTGGTAATGTGGCTTCTATTGGCGAGTCTGCTCCTGTCGCCGGGACTGTCTGCCTTCGCCCGTCTGCCTCTCCAGTCTCAGAGGAGCTGTTTCCCGTGCCCTCTCCTTAGGGATCCAAGAACAGTTGTTGACATTTTGTCTGTTTAGCGTTTCACTTGCTAGGATGGGCTGGTGGCTGCTAGGCTCTTCACCTGTGGGAACAGACACTGCAAGCCAAGCTTTTAATGTTCTGACCCAAAGAATGTAACGGCCACGGAACAGTCACCACTTTCCACATTGGTTATGAAGATCGCTTTGCATGATTTCAGTCCGCACGGCCGCCTTCACACTGCCATGCTGGTCATACGCTCATCTCTGATTTATAAAGCATTTTTCAAAATGGAACAGTTGCTGGCTTTTAACTCTTTGCTATTAGCTTATTCTGTCTAGTAAAAGTGCCTGATATGTAAATAAAAAACAAAACAATCTCAGTTGTATCTGTACCTATTGTTCTGATGTGACTTTACGGTCCTAGTGCGATCGCTGCCTGCCTCTGTACAACGACAAGCCTTTCCGCCAGGGAGACCAAACCCACGCCTTCCCTTGTAAGCCCTGCCAGTGCCACGGCCATTCCCGAAGCTGCCACTATGACATCTCAGAGGACCCCTTTCCGTCCGAGCACCACAGAGGGGGCGGAGGAGTCTGTGATGATTGTGAGCACAACACCACAGGTAACTAGCAAATGACCGTCCCAACTAAGGCCGGGTTGGCCTGTGAGGCCCATGTTACTTTAAATTACATTATTGCTTTCTTGTTTAAGAACGTGCTCTCCTGCTGTTAACGTTTGAAAACCAAAGCTGGTTTACCAGATCTTCATAATGGCAACCCATGAAGTAGTTTTCAGAAATAGTAATCTAATCTTTGACTATATCTATTCAGGAAAAGCCCACACCTCCCCCCACCGCCCCCACCACCACATTTGTTTAAAGTATGAATAATATGTTGGATAACTCAGGACTGATTAGTTTGAATATGTACTTATCTTCTTTAGATAAGTTTTCTTGTGTGACCCTGATCTCCCACTCTGCATGAATTCTCAGGTGGAGATGTTTACATGAATTTAGATTTGGCATGGACTCTGGGAACCTGGGAATGCTCTGTAAATGCTAATTAAATGCAGAGGTGATTATCGAAGTCTTGTTCTAAAACCGTTCAGCATTTTGAAGAGCTAGTATATTAAAAGCAGAAGTTGGCAATCTCTGACTTTGTAAAATGTAACTGGTCTTATGGACTTGAAAGAGTGCTATTCTGAAGTCGTAATGAATTTATTAGATAATTATGGATGGCCTAAAATGTCACACAAGAACTTGGCTAGGCGCTGGGAATATAAAGATTAACAAGATAAAGACTATCCTGTCTTTGTGTGTATTAGTACATAGTGGGAAAGGCTCACCATTGAAGGGACAATTACAAAGTGGTCTAATGCAGCAGTTGCCAACCTTTCGGGCCTCAGGGACCACCAGTGGTCCGTGGTCCACCAATTGCTACCCCTGGTCTAATGGGTGCCAAGGTAGGGCAAGTTCAGTAGGAGTTGTCCAGGTGAAGGAGTGAGAGGAAGGGGGTTGGGAGCGAACAAAGGTTTCTAATAAGAAAAACAGTCGTGTAATGTCCTAGAGGAGAGAAGCATGGAGACCCTTGAAGACCTGATAGATGGGAAATGGCTGATTGTAAGAAGAGGCGCTAGGAAGGGAGTCGGGCCAGATTTCAGAGGGCTCTACACATCATGACAGATTTTGGTTTCTATCCTAAGGTCAGTGAGGTGTCCTTAAGGGGTTTACACAGGAAAGGAACATGGTACGTTTTGTATTTTTAAAAAACCTATGCGGTCATAATGTGGAGAGTGGATTGGGCAGGATCAGGTGTGGTTGGGGAAGACCAGGTAGCGGGGGCTGCAGTTTGTCCCGGTGAGGAGCACGCTGGAGTGGATGGAGGTGGTGTGGATGGAGACAATTCAGGAAGGAAAGTGGCAGCACTTTCCAAGCAAGGCATAGGGAAGGAAGGAGCATCAAGACTCTTGCCTCACATTCCAGTGTGAGCAACAGGGTCAACATCGATGTCAGCCATTGAGACAGGAAACACAGGTGGATCAGGCTTGGGGAGAGGGTGGCAGGTCTCATTTGGACATGCTCACTGCGTGTTTCCGAGAGGAATTCTGTCTAGGGCAGTGGGGCTCAGTTCTGAAGCTGCTTCCCTAAGGACCGCCCTCTGGTGCCTCAGAAAAGATCCCTATCATCAGCATACTTCAGTGGCACCTTATGTGCGGGCTGTTTGTTAGTGTCTGTCCATTCCTGTCATTATTCAGTAAGACTCCTCTTACCCTCATGGCTACAGGAAGGCTCTGTGAGAACGGTGTGATGTTTGTATGGCTCATGACTACTCCTTCCTCAGCACTCAGCACAGAGTCTGGCACATGGGAATCACCCAATGAATATTCATTAAATGGGAAATACAGGAGATATTTCTAGGTTGGAGATAGAAATTTGAGAGTCATCAGCATATGTAAATGGAAATATTCTAGAAATACTATGAAACCATTTTAATGTTTAATTAGTCCACAGCCAAGGTACATCAGAATGTGGATTTTCACTTGATTATTTCCTTAGTTTTCTAATATTGGGCCAATTTGGAGACTATTTAAGGAGAATACATGTTTAAAGGGGAAATTGATTGCCTTGAGTTCTATTTTGGTGGTTCTATATTGTACTTACATTTGCTTTAGAGTTGGCCTGTAGATGAGATTTGTTTTTCTTTTGTAAGAGAAAACTTCTGATTAGTAAATTGTAAGCTATGGGAATTACCTGATATTTCTAAAATGTCAGACTATTCTAATATTTAAAATGAAATTTGTTTGCTATGTCTAAATATAATAAACTAGAGGCCCTGTGCACGAAAATCTTGCACGGGTAGGATCCCTAGGCTTGGCCTGTGATTGGGGCTGGCCAGGGCCTTCCTTCATCCCACGCCGCCCCCTGGTGGTCAGCACACGTCATAGTGAGCAATCGAACTCCCGGTTGAACTCCCGAGGGAACACTTTTCATATAAGCCTTTTATATTTATAGATTTCTATTGATATTCGCAATGGAAAATAATGGCCATAAGCTCTCACAGAAGCATTGGCTAGGCCTGTGATTGGGGCTGGCCAGGGCCTTCCTTCATCCCGCGCCGCCCCCTGGTGGTCAGCGCACGTCATAGTGAGCAATCGAACTCCCGGTTGAACTCCCGAGGGAACACTTTTCATATAAGCCTTTTATATTTATAGATTTCTATTGATATTCGCAATGGAAAATAATGGCCATAAGCTCTCACAGAAGCATTTGCTTTTAATTATGTTAACTATACAATAATGAATGATAGTAAGAACAGTCTCCTATTTGACAAGATTTAGTTCTGGAAAATATTTCTAATACTCCATACATAGTTGCTTCTAACTGGACAGCTACCCTCTCCCACACAGACGGAAATTTCTCATATTTGATTGAGGTCAAATGCCTAGCCCTGGAAATAAAGAAAAGTTTGAAGTTTAGAAAGAAACTCTTTCAAAACGCCTGGGCCCTTCCAGAGGCCAGCTTTTAGAGGTGTGGCATTTTACAGCAGATGGGAGTTTAATGAAGTAAAGCACAGTTTGTAGCAGGTTCATTGTTTCATATGCTCCGGATCACCAAATTGGCAGGTAGAGATGAAAGGTGCATTAAAATGGACGTCCCGAAAATTATAGAATTCCCTCCAAGGAATACAGTCTTTAATTCTGAATTATGCCGCTGATTTTAATGAACTGGAAGTCATAACGCATCACCTCTCCCTGCCGCAGGACGGAACTGTGAGCTGTGCAAGGAGCACTTTTTCCGACCAGTTGGGGCAGATCCTTCAGCCACGGATGGGTGCCAGCCCTGTGAGTGTGATGCAGCCGGCACCCGAAACGGTAGCCTCTTGTGTGATCAGGTGAGTTCTCAGTATGGAAGTAAAGGATTGCTCCCTTTCAAAAGCTAATTTGGCCCTGGCTGGGGTAGCTCAATGAATAGAGCATTGTCCTGATACGCCAAGGCTGTAGGTTCAGTCCCTGGTCCGGGCACATACACGAATCAACCAGTGAGTACATCAGTAAGTGGAACGGCAAGTCAATGTTCCTCTCTCCCTTCTCCCTCTAAAAATCAATCCATAAAATGCTAATATGGGACATCATCTTCTCATAGAATCAAGGACTGTATTTCTCAGGATGTCCTGTGTGTGTTTGCATCTAAATGAAATGGCTGCTTTAGGAGCGCTGCTGTGCAACTGTTAATACGGACATGAACTGTCAGACTGCCTGGAGGTCCTTTGCAGAGAAGAAAGGCTCATTTTATTTTTACTTTTACAAATGTCAAAACAAATTGGAAACTAGGGGGTTCAAAGTAAACTGGAAAGTAAATTGAGTATATGTCTGGGAATTATTGGACAGTTAATGTTAATAAATGATGTTAACTAAACAAAAACAAGTTTCCTCCCCAATTCCAAAGAAGACAGTCTAACAAAGGTCATGTACACCCAGGTCCAGATGGTCATTATGATAGTTGTGCTTGTGAATTTTATATTCCAACCTTCTCTCTATCTTAACAGCACAGTGCATTTTTACAATTTTATGCACTTTTATTACAATATCACAAAAATTATTTTCTGACCTACATGAGCACAGATTTTAACTCACCTGGGTCAATATATCCTACCTCGACCTAAAGAATGGGAGAAAATATTTGCAAAGCATATATCCAGTGAGACTTGTCTCCAGCATATATAAAGAACCTTTACAACTCAATAATAAAAAGGCAACGCAATTAAAAATGGCTAAAGGATCTAAATAGATAATTCTCCAAGGAAGATACACAAATGGCAATAAACACATGAAAAGATATCCAGCATTATTAGTCTTCAGAGAAATGCAAATTAAAACCACAATGAGATACCACTTTACACTCACTGGCGTGGCTGTTGTTAAAAGGATAGATAATGACACGCATTAATGAGTCTGTGGAGGTCATTTGTGTTCCCATAGACTGCTGGGGGCACGTAACACGTACATCCACTTTTACAGACAGAAAACAGTCTGGTGTTCCTCAACATACTAAATACAGAGTTACCATATGACCCAGCACTATCACTTCTGGGTATATATGCAAATAAAATGAAAACATAAATTGTCACACAATCTTACTTGTGAACATTCATAACTCCTTTATCTATAATTGTCAAAATGTTGAATAACCCAGTGTCAATTGATGAGTGGATAAATAGAATGTAGCATATTTATTCAATGAAATATTATTCAACAGTAAGGAGAAAGGAAATAATAACATTTTAATGCGTCCTTTGGTCCCAGGAGTGGGGTAGGGAGAGAGGAGAGAGAGGTTTTTTTTTATTACATGCCTCTGTATGTCCATATTTTCCATGTGCAAAAACCTAGTTTAAAAATGCATAAAACAAAAGACATACTTGGAAGTGTTAACATTTTTTTTCTTTTAGAAGCTTTTTTTTTTTTTTTACCTTCTTCTATTTCTGATTGCTTTTTTGATCATTTTTATAGCAGAAATAAATAGAATTTTAATGAAATCCAATATGTAGCCAGAGAGAGCTACATACAGGGTTCCAAATGCAGATACAATGGCAGAGCTGTTCATAAATTTAATGCCTCCACGTTGTTCATCTCTAAGTCCATTCACATTTTACTTTAATGGTTATTCTCTTATTCTCCAAGTATGGACACAAAGTCTGTATGATACAAAAAAGCTATTATGACAGGTGAAAATATCATGTCAAGCCCACCTTGCCTAAATAATATTTTCTAACAACATTTATTGT